AATGCCGCAGACGTTGCTATCTGCCGTAGCACCTTGCTGCTGCGTACGGAGGCCTGTGTACACTGCTGGTTGCTTGGATTGCTGCGTTTTTGGCCACCATTGTGGAGCCCTCAGGTGCGTCAAGGGTTCAAGGCCCTCTCACGCGAGTCTGAGTGTGCCTCCCCTGGATCTCGAGAGCCTCAAACTTGCTCCTTCTATCCTTCTCCCTCTAAGGTCTAGTCCGTTGGCCCTGAACGGAAGGCGATAGGCAGGATTGCAGCCCGTGATCCGCGCCAAGGCCTCTGTGGGAGGTTGCCCCACCGATTGCAGGAGCTCTGCCGGGACTCACGCGGAGTCCTGGAGGCAGGGAACTCAGTGGTAATCCCTTGATTCCCTTTATAAACCCAACTATAACCCCTACGTATACATCTCTCTATGTTTGACAGAGTATATTGTGTGGATCATGTACTTGGTTCTGAGTTTGACTTTCAGGACATAAGTCAGATTGAAGTAAAAGAATGTGTGGGCAAATCTCAGTTTCAGTTTGGTGATTGCCTGAAAGTAGATTGCGAATGAAATGGGTGACATCTGGGGGCAAGGTTGGGAGGAAGGCAGTATTGTGTGCAGATTGACTGGGTCACTAAGGCTTGGAGGTCCCCTTAAGTTTGGGGAAGCCCAGCGCTTTGTTTATTTTTTGATTGCATAGAGCTYCAGRCCGCTCTATAAGTTTAGGTAGCCTGAAGCTCTGGAGGCTAGGATGTCCCCATAAGTTTGGGGAAGCCTRGTGCTGTGAATTGCATGGAGGGTCAGGATGCTCTATAAGTTTAGGTGTCCTGACTGCTCTGACAGGCGAGGGTTGATTATGCTTGATCTTCAGGGGCTCAGGGCGCTCTATAAGTTTAGGTGCCCTGGGTCGCCTTGTTTATTAAGAGATTTTTTCTGTTTCTTTGTTTCTRAACGAGGGGGTCAGAACCGCTCTATAAGTTTAGGTGGTTCAACCCCCCCTCCTGTCTTATTATGAGGGAATAGATTTGGCAGGGGACAGGCCGCTCTATAAGTTTAGGTAGCCTGTCCCACTGCCTCGCATAGACTGGATCAAAGTGAAACGAACCTGGCAGAGGATCACACCGCTCTATAAGCTTAGGTAGTCTGACCCAATGTCTCGCACATGTTGGAACCCAATGGATATAACCTGGCTATAATGTATTACTATGTTATTATGAACAKGCTCATYAGGCCGCTCTATAAGTTTAGGTAGCCTGACTATAGCTTACCACAACTGAAGAGAGTGTAACTAAGAGGTATAACTGAAGGTAAACTTAGGCAGGCTGAGCAGTGTTCTAAGTTGAGCGGCTCAGCCTTATGCCCCCTTGAAGATTAAGTTCAGAGAGATATATAGAACTTGGCTATTTAAACAATTCAGGGCGRCTATAGTGGTCTAGTCACATGCCCAAAGAAGAGAGAAGTAGTAGTGCCCTCTGTTTGTGTATACCTGCCCAAGTCAKAACRCTCTACAAGTTTAGGTATTCTGACTTTGGGTGACCTATGCCTTATGTAAGTTGGGTATAAGGGGATAACTCACTGAAAGATCATGAACTATTGTTTGCTCAGATTGGCTTGGGGATGGGGAGAATACTTACCCTTGTGGTTTAGCCTGCATGTGGCTGAGTGAGATTACTACTTGGTTTGGGTTTCAGGTTGACAGGTCGTTGCTTTAGAAACTCGCCACGTGCTAGAGCGATAGGAGTAAGGTTAATTCCTGCATTTTCTGTGATAGTTTTTTTTACTTAGGTYWATTCTCGCATTTTCTRGGATCATTTTTTGTGCTTGGCTTTGTATAAATCTTGGCAGGCCACTTTCTCTACGGGAAGCGCTGCCGAAATTTCTACAAATCCAAGGAGTTAGTCAATTTTTGACTTGTCCAAGTTCAACTTGTCTTTGTTTATTTCTGACCTAGTAAACGTCTGGAAAGTCTTCTTTTCTAAAGGGAGTGCTGCCCAGATTTTTGGTAATTCAGGGAGTTAGACAAAATTGGACTTTGAGAAGTCAAAGTTATTCTCAAGTTCAGGACTCAATTTTGTATAAATTTTGGAATAACACTTTTCGAAAGAGGGTGCTGCCGAAATTTCCGCAAAACTAAGGAAATCTTGTCTAAATTGAGCTCGAGTTGTTTTTGAGTTCATATCTGACTTTGTGTAAATATGGGAAGTCTCCCTTTCTAAAGGGAATGCTGCCCAAATTTTTACTAATTCAGGGRGTTAGACAAAATTTGACTTTCCAGAGTAAAATATTATTTCTGCCTTCACATTTGGACTTATATGAATTCTGGAAAGACACTATTCCTACGGGAAGCGCTGCCGAAATTTTTCTAAATCGGAGGAGTTAGATTATATTTTGTCAGGTGGCGATTTTGGCAATCCACCCTGAATAAGGGAAATTCAGCCATTAGTCTACCTTTGCTTTGCGCACTGGCGTAGAGGCAGGCCTGGACTCAGTTGGCAGAAAGCTTTGAGTGAGAAAGTGCTATATAGGTTTATCCCCCATATGCTGATGATTTAGCTTGGCCATTTGACCTATCTTGTGCTATAGGTCCTTTGGGGTGTCTGATTCAAGATCAGGACTAGACTCATCTTGATCCCTTGAGGATCGTCTTGTGTTATCACTGATAACAGGTCAGTTGCCGATTCGTCGGTCTTCGACTCAATTCGAACTCACTCCCCATACTCAACCTAAGAGGCTTTAGCCCTGGTGGTTTTACTGTTTGGTAAGGGTTTCACCATGACTTTTATTGAATGGCCATTTAACAAAGGTACTGAGTATTTAATTGAGGTTGGTTGGGCTGGCAATTGGGGCTTGCATGGCTAAAGCGAAGGGGTATGAGCATAGAGAACGGTTGGGGTTTACTCCGTGTAGTGCGTGCTTTGTCGTTTGATTCTTGGTGTGATTGCAGGTATGTTCTGTGATTCGGATTTTGGATTTGGACTGCCTGCAACTCCATATACGTATACATGGTTGTGAGGAGTCTCACTGTTCCTGTGAGAAGTGATCGTCACAACTTTATCCCCCTTTTTGTATGTATGCGTGGGTATACGTATGATGAGCGTTCGGGAGGCCTAAGAGGCCATGTTAACACTGCGTAAAAGTTGGGATTGAGAGACAGGGAAGACCCTCCCCTCTGCCTATTTGCGTGTTTGGGCTTTCTTGGTCGGACGTTGGTTCTGGGCTGGGATTCAAGGTCCTTGTCCAGGACATCCTAAGCCCTAGGCCYTGAAGGGGAGGAGTCTCCCCTCGCATAGAGCCTATGTACTTTGGCGGGCGGGGCACTCCACCTGAAAGGCGGAGATGTTGCGAGGGCCGAACGGCACGTCCTTCAKCCATTCAATATCGTGAGGGGTAACCCCTCGCGATGCGTTCCTTCAGCCATTCAATATCGCGAGGCCGGAGCCGCGGTTACCACGTCTGATTGGCATTAGTGGTTGGCGTAGGATTGGCCTGCGGTCGCGCAGCTTTATATCAGAGTCCTGCGCGCAACGTCTAGCCGCCCCAGCGTCTAAAGGTTATGGGATCGCCGGGCTCGCGCGTAAGTGCAGCGCTTGGATTATTCTAGGCCGCCGACACCAACCACAGAGGGGGAGGGTACCCCAAGGTCACGATTCCTTCTAAGACAAAGGGGGGGGGGCTTTTGCCCTAGCCCCTCTATTTGTTTTCGTGTGTACTCTGTTTGCTTTTTAAGGATTATTATGGTTGGACATTGTAGTCCGTGGCGGCCGTCAAAGTCAAACCCCTTGACTTTCGCTCAGGCCTGGGGAGGACTTACCCCTAAGGCCGCGTGAGACGACTACCACCATTGGCATGGACCTTTGTACCACCCACTTTGCATAAGGGTGCAGAAGAGGGTGTGTGGTCTTCAACCGCGCACGACGGTTGTCTGGCGTCGAGAGATCAACCCTCAACGCGTGTGTCAGCCGACACTTGAGTGTCGAACACGACCCTCAAATTAACGAGGGCCGCGCGAGTGTGGGTACCACATAGTACGCCGTCATCTCGATTGCTTGCGTACGCTTGCATTGCGAGTCGATATGAGTCAACCTCGCGTCCGCGCAGTTTATATTAAGTCTCGCGCGCAACGCCTATTCGATTTCTGCATCAGGGAGTTATGGGACGGCTACCGAGGGTCCAGGAGCGTTGTCACGTTGCTTGTGTTGCGTCGCGTTGTACGTACCTGTGTGTGTGTGCGTGTGTTTTATTTTTGTGTTCGTAGAGAGGTGGTGTGCGCGTGGTGTGTGGGATGCGTCCTAGTCCACCGACATCGAGTCGCACTTGGGACTTCAGCCCCCCAAGATGTCGGCTCGCGTGCGGGACCGATAGGGGTATCACCGCGCGTACCCCCTATGCTACAGCGAACGAGAAACGCCCTCGGTTGGTCCACCTCTGCGACTGCAACTGATTAACTTTCGTATTGTGGACTGGTAGCTCGACAGGGATACGCTCATCGATGGGAGGTGACAGCTCCCGTAGGTAAGTCGTGCCTCACGTAGGCCCTATCCTGTCGTAGGGGCTCGCGAGAGGCATGGCTGGCGCACTCGGCCGGAGCGGCCTAAGGAAACTCCTTTTGCGTGTTATGTCGAGATTGATCCAACTCCTGCATGACGCGGCCGAGAGGGTCCCGCGCCACCTCGTGCGGTGCCGGACCGATGCGCTCGACAGGTGGCGCCGTTGCCGGGGATAACGGAAACCTACCGTTGTCCCTAGTGGAACGACATCCGGGTATGGGAATGAGGGAGAAACTAGGCATATAGGTGAGTAAGGGGAAGACTATGAGATGCACTGTATGGTGATCTATATGATTGTGGGTTAAATGGTCGATTGATTGGCGGCTTGACTGAAAGCTTGAATAAAGCAAGTGTGTGAGGAGGTTCTATGGTGAGGATAGGCCTTCTCTAGGTAGGCCTAAGGGAGAATGAGAAAAGAGATGTCTGTTAGGTCTAGAGCGTCGGGGACGTGAAGGATTGAGTCGTTGAGTGGAATCTTTTCGTTCTATCGTTTTTATAACAGGAAGCTCGAAGCCGGAGACGGTTGATCAGGATGCCAGAGGCAATGGCGGACGGTGGGAGGAGGCTCGTGACGATCGACGATCTCATCGATGCCTTGGACAAGCGCGAGAGGGCGCCAAGCAATGTCCCAAAGGTTGAGACATTTCACTTCAAGGGGGATCGGGTATCTGATTGGTTTGATCTAACAGAGCAGGCGCTGGTGGGGCTGTCAGATGAGGTCAAGCTCCAACGGGTCCTGAGGTACGTCCTGCATAGTCATCATCTGGAAGTAAGTAAGGCCGTGGACGCCGCCGGTGGCAGTTGGAAAAAGTTTGGGGACCTAATGTGAACGAAGTACAGGCTGGGGGATGGCCTGTTGACCATGGCCGACTTGGAGGCCGTGAACAAGGAAGACTTTTCTACCATTGGGGCGTTCGTGCACGAGTTTAAGAAAAAGGCGAGGAAAGTGCACGGGATTTCTGAGGAGGCGCAGTGCGCCACATTTTTGGGGCTGCTTGCGAGCTCGGAGGCCACAGAGCTGACCAAGTATGGGGAAGGGAGCGAGAGGCTCACCAGGGCAACCATTGACAAGGGAGTGGAAGAAGGGAGCCTGGACCAGGTGGAGCAGCACCAAATGAGGCTGCAAAGGCGCAAGAGGAAGGAGAGGGATGGTACCGCATCCAGGACCCCGGGGGTGAAGAGAATTGTTACGGACATGTTGGCGGCACTGGGGTATGATAACGAAGCAGAGATACAGAAAAAAGGGGTGCTAGTGGCCCAAGGCCGGGCGTCAGGGGCAGTGGATGAGGAGGCTGGGCAAGAAGACTACGGCGGAGGGGAGACGGGCTCCCAAGTCCTGACTGAGGCCTAGAGGAAGCAGCGCAAAATGCTGCAGGAAGGGCAGGGGTCAGGGAAGGGGCAGGCTCCCCAAACCATTGTCGCGCCACCCCCTGTCGCCGCGGCCGCGCCAGCGCCAGCAGGACCGTCGCACATGGGGCCGCCACCAGCTTGCGGGCACTGGGTGCCGCATTGTCAGTCCGCGCCCTGGCCCAGTTGCAACCATTGCGTCTCGTGTGGAGGGAGCCAGGCCCACACGGGACACATGGCCCCCCGAGCTACCTGGCGACTCAAAGCCAACCTGTGGCTCTACCGCCGCCCTCCCAACAGGCCTTGCAAGCTAGTGTGGTCGGGGGAGGGGGCCAAGGACAAGGCGGGCAGGGCAATGGGGGCCGGGGCCAAGGGGGTAGAGGAGGGGGCGGTCGGGGGCAAGGGCCAAGGACAAGGCGGGCAGGGCAATTGGGGCCGGGGCCAAGGGGGTAGAGGAGGGGGCGGTCGGGGGCGAGGGGGAAATGATGGAGGCCGTGGAGGAGGTTGGAGTGGTCACGGGGGCCAGAACCAAGGTGGCCAAAGCAGCCAGGGGGGGGGCCAAGGGTACGGGAGGCCCCGCTTTGACTGGCGGGACGCAACTTGTTGGCATTGTGGCGAGGTGGGCCACACCGTACGATTCTGCCAACAGCGGCGGGACGACGAGCTGGCAGGACTGATTTCCTCCTGTATGGACGGGGACATATACGATCGATGGGGGAAGCTTCGATCCCAAGACTCCGGGAGGAATCAGGCAGGAAGCCCTTAGGCAAGCGGCGGCAACACCGCCAGCAGCCCCGACTATGTTTAGAATATGGCAAGAAAGGCAGGATCCGGGTGTGAGAATCGAGGAGATTGTGGACGAAAACGAGGAGGTGACTCAACAACTAAAGGTAGGAACTGTAAAGGAGGAGCCTATAGTTGTTTAGTCCGATGATGAGGCGCTGAAGGTGGTGAGAGAGTCCGCCTCGACCATCCTGGAAAGGATGGAGGACCTGCTTGCAAAAGTCGGCAGGTACCAGGAGCGATTAAGGGTGATGTGCGAAGAGGCCCGGGAGTGGGAAATGAACCTTCCTGAAGTAATGCTCTATGGGTCTGGCCCGGAGTCGTCATCAGGACCGCAAGGGTGTCCAAGCGTGGCGACGGCTGGGGCAGGTCCTAGGTTAGGGATGACCTTCAGACCCCCTACGTCGCATGGAAGGGTGCCAAAGGCCGCGCAGACTAGGGGCCAAAGCAATGCTACCGCTAGTCAAGGACCCAACCAGGCACCTGGCCAGGCGCCTCCTCGAAGGGAACCTGAGCCTGAACGAAGGAAAGAGGTGGTGGAGGTTCAGGAGGAGGAAGAGGAGGGTGATGACGAAGAGGATGAGAGGCTCTGGCAGGAGGAGGACCAGCGAGCCGAGCAGAGGGCCAATAAGAGAGGAATTCAGGGAGGGGCGGAGCCAAGCCTGCACGATGGCGTGCCAAAAAGGAAGAAGTACGCAGTCCGGCTGGAGGAAGGTTTTGACGTGGAGCGAATGGTGGATAAGCTCCTGGAGGGCCACAACGATTTGATGAATCTAAAAGACATCCTGGCGTCGACACCGAGGCTCCGTGGCGAGCTGAAAGGGCGGCTCTCGCGGAGGTTAGTGCCCAACGTCCACCTGAGCTCAATTCTGCGCAGGGAGATAGAGTGGACAAAGGCGGGCACCAGGATGGACTGGAAGTGTGTGGCATGAGGGTTGGTGGATCTGAAGGTGAGAGACCAGCCGAGCATCGCAATGGTGGACACGGGCGCTGAGATGAATATCATCCGGGAGGGGGATGCGACCATGTTAGGGCTGGAAGTTGACCATTCGGACCATGGCGTGCTGCATGGCGCCAACTGCAAGGCCATTTTCTGCGGCACCGCATCTAATGTGATGGTGGAGATCGGGAGGGTAAGGGCGCGAACGTGCTTCTTCGTCATGACCGATGTCGACCACCCTATCCTTCTAGGGAGGTCGTTCCTCTGCCGAACGGAGACCTTGGTCTTCAACAGGCATGAGGGGACGATGATCCTGGCTCTATCCGATCCGGCCTGCGGGAATTACGAGATTATTAAGTGCCGGAACACAGGGCCTGGAAGTGCGAGGAACAGGCTCAACCTCGGCTCCTTCACCTTCGAAGAGTCCGAGTACGCGCGACGAAGACTCCGGGAGGAGCAAGAGGAGGAAGGAGCGGGTGAGGTATTGTCCCTGAGCCTTAACGATGTGAATAAGGCAATGGAGGTGGTGGCGGCGCATGATATGGCGGACCCTGAAGCTATAAAGGCATTGAGGGAGCAGGTCCTGGAGAGCCCTCAGGTGGGAGAAGTGGAACGGATCTATCGGCTTCCAGGAAGGAAAGGGGACCCTGCGATGGCCCAGGCCCGAACGACAAGTCGGCCTTTTTTAGGGGAGGGCTTAAGCAGGGCTCCCAAAGGCGGTACAAGACTATACATAAGAAGTGCCGCCCGGTCCCCGTACTTGTTACAGAGGATGAAGAGGCCTATTATGAGCGGGAGCGGGACCTGATCAGACGAATGCGGGAACGTGCACAGGCAGGGTCGTGCCGTATTAATGACGAGAACGAGGAGGGGTTGATAATTGGCGAGCCTGGCTTCCTTTCGCGCCAGGAGAGGACCTTGATGGTGGAGACCATGAAGAGGAGGCATTGTGCGTATGTGTTTAATGAGGACAAGCGTGGGAGGTTAGATGTGGATAAGATTCCAATGATACGAATCCATACCGTCCCGCATGAGCCGTGGAACCTGAGGGGCGCGCGATATCCGAACCCGGTCGAGGAGAGGAAGGTGGTGGACTACCTGGACGGAAAGATGCGAATGTACGTGGCGGACTACTCTAGTGGACCGTATGCTTCCCCTTGGTTTTGTTTTATCAAGCCAAACGGGACGCTACGGTGGGTGCAGGACTTGCAGCGATTGAATGCAGTAACGGTGCGAGACGCGGGAGGTTTGCCGAACGTGGATGCCTTGTCAGAGTCATGCGCAGGAAGGCCTATAATCTCACTTATAGACCTTTATTCTAGGTATGACCAGTTTCCTGTATACCCGTCGGATAGGTCAGTGACGACAATGCATACGCCAAGGGGGCTAATCCATCTGAATGTGGCCCTTCAGGGATGGACTAATGCGGTGGCAATGGTGCAAAGGCACATGATTAGGGTCATGCAGACGGTTAGTCTACATATCACTCAGCCCTACATTGACGATTTGGCGGTCAAGGGTCCAAAGGAGAAGGAGGAAGACGAAGTGATGCCAGGAGTGAGGCGGTTCGTCTGGAAGCACATCCAGGATATTGATCAGGTTCTGGGTCTGTTGGAAGAACACAACATGACGGCAAGTGGCCCCAAGTCGAAGCATTGTATGAGGGAGGCCACGATTCTGGGCTTTGTCTGCAACGAGAAAGGGCGGAGGCCAGATGTGAAGAAGACGGACAAGATCCTAGAGTGGCCAGTCCCCTTCCAGTCGATAACGGACGTGAGGAGCTTCCTTGGGACCTGTGGGTTTTGGAGGAGTTTTGTGAAGGACTTCGCCACCAAGACGGAGCATTTGAGGAAGCTGGTGCGTCAGGATCAGGAATGGGTCTGGGGCGAGGACCAGGAAAAGGTTGTGGAGAGGATGAAGGGAGAGTGCAAGGAAGGAGACTTAGTGCTGGGAGCGCCAAATTATGAGTCTACGGAGGAAAAACCATTTGTTGTCGAGACGGACGCTGGGTCAACTGCCTTGGGAGGGGTCCTGATTCAGGCAGATGCGGATGGGAAGGAGAGGCCACTAAGGTTTGAAAGTCGTACCCTCAATACGACTGAGAGGAATTACTCTCAGTTTAAAAAGGAGACGCTGGCGGTACTCCACTGCCTGAGGACCTTCAGAAACTATATTTTTGGCAGGAGGCTCATCTTGAGGGTGGACCCTACTGCGCTTGCGTGTTCCCTGAAAAGTTGTACTCCATCTGACCCAACCATCGCAAGGTGGTTGACTTACATTTGGATGTTTAACTTTGAGTTGGAGAGGATTCCCGGGGACAAGAATAGGGCGGATGGGCTGAGCCGTATCAACTGGGATGGGGCGAGCCAGTAGTCAATTGAGGATACCCCACCAGTTAATGGGTTCTTGGACCAGGAGGAGGATGTCCGCCTCCATATAAATGAGTGGTCGTTAAGGGTGCCTGGCTGCGTCATGCATCCCATATGGCTAGCACAAAGGGAGTACGAGCGAAAGGGGGAGCTGGTCCTCAAGCCTTTCCAGGAGGAAGATCCATGGGGGAGTAGGGATGTTGGCTGGATGATGAAGCTGACATTGGCAGGTACACATAGTCTGGCGGAGGAGGTAAGGACGATAGAGGCAGGCCCGAACCAGGTAGAGGAGCATTAGCAATTAATGGGAGGGATGTATTTGCTCACTAATACGCTCCTGCAGGGAAACTTTAATCAGAGGAGTTCAACCGGCCCTGAGGAGAGCGAACTTCTCATTCCTGAAAGCCAGGACGACGAGTTCGAAGAGGGAGAGATCAGGGAGGCCTTCCGCGCTGAGGAGTATGACGGGATCTATCGGGAACTGGGGTTACTCCTGTCATGCGAGATAAGGGATAGGGATGCAAGCGCTAAAGCCCAGAAGATGAGGCATCTCTACGTAGTAAGAGATTGCCATTTATTTATAAAGCGACAGGTTGGGAACCCCAAGAGGATCGTATGTGGGAGGAACCGGCAGATTGATGTCATAGCAGCCCTACACGATGGTATAGCAGGGGGGCATAGAGGGGTTAGTGCCACATCCGCAAAGATAAGCGAGCTATACCATTTGGACGGAATGCTGACTATGGTCATCAAGTACTGCCAGTCCTGTGTACCTTGCCAGCAGAGGTCAGCGCAAAGGCCTGGGGAGCCTTTGCACCCCAGGCTAGAAAGGGAAGTGGGCGCAGTCGTACACCTGGACCTGTTGTTTATGCCACTCGGGGAGGATGGAAGTAACTATAGCTTTGACGCATGGGACAACCTTACCGGGTTCGTGGACGGCCGGGCTATTCGTACAAAAACTGGCCCAGTTTTAGCAAGATGCATCGAAGAATACTACCTGCGCTATCCGTTTGTCAGAGAGTTTGTGATAGACCGGGGGTCGGAGTTCACTTGTAACGAGGTGCGGACCTTGCTTGCAGGGTACGGCGTGGTAGCAAACTATACTACTGTCGCGCACCCCTAGGCAAACGCACCTGTGGAGAGGGGGCATAGTACCATCACAAATCTCCTGGCCAAGTGGACTGAGGGGAAGCCCAACCAATGGCCAAAGTTCCTGAGAGCAACTTTCTTCGTGGAAAATGTTACAGTGAAAAGGACCATCAAGTATGCGCCAGCCACACTATGGTACGGAAGGCACGCTACCTTTCCCATATAAAGTTTCATGAAGACGTGGAGGCGCCAGGACCTGGAAGTGAATCTATCTTTCGAAGAACTGCTCGATATACGGGCGCGGCAGGTGGGAGCCGCTGAGGAAAGGTTACGAGAAGCCGCTGGTCAGGTAGAGAGAAGTCGTATGGAGGACAAGATGAGATAGGACCAGATGGCCCGAATAAGGAAGGACCTGTTGAAGGTTGAAGACGTGGTACTGTTGTATGACTCCTCACTGGAAAAACAATGGTCCAGGAAGCTAGATAAGCGGTGGCTGGGACCCTATAGGATCGTGCGGTGTGGCGAGTTTGGGGCCTACCAAATTGAAGAGTTGGATGGGGCAGAGTGGCAGGACTGGGTATCAGGGACAAGGTTGAAGAAGTTCGTGGCCAGGGAATAGGTAAGGGACCATGAGACCTCGTTAGGAAAAGAGTCTTGCCTAGGTACTATCCAAGTCAGGGGATTAGATAGGTGGGTGATTGGGATGGATGGGTGTGGAGTGTATGTGGGATTTCCCTAGGCCAATGGGCTCGGTTGCTAACCCTGTTGTGTGCCTGTTTGTTGTCTCTTGCCTGTTGTGCAGGTCTGACTTTTCGAAAGCAGTCATGCAGAGGGGTGGGAGGGACACACGGTCACGGCAGGGGCAGCAGGAGGGGACGAGTAGCATGAACCGCCTAAGAGGGAGCCTACGCCCGAGTTCGACGACGATAACATAGAGATTTTCCTGGACGTATATCGGGATCATGCGGCACAGAGAGTGTGGTCAGTGGCGGAGAGGATCCACCACTTGAGGGGCATAGGGCGGTTTGAGGAGCCTGCCGCTCAGATATGTGAGGAGGCCCTGACTTGGCCGGACGTGGAGGCCGGGATGCAGAGGTTGAGATCTTCCCCTAGGGGGCGCGATGGCATGCCCATTCGATTGGAGGAGGGGAACGAGGAGGAGTTCATTCTCGCATATGAGCACTACTTGTTGAGTCAGGGGATTGCATGGGAGGAGTGGGTGCAGGCCCTACTTATCTGGACGAGGGGGGCAGAGAGGCCGGTGGCCAAACAGATTCGGGAGAGGGCTCGAGACTGGGAGGACTGTCAGGCCCAGCTCAGGAGGGCGTTCGGACGGCCAGAGCGTGAGAGGCACGAGCCCAGAGTCGAGAGGCGACGGCGGAGTAAGAGGCCAAGGGAGCCGGCACCGAGAGAGGTGGGGCTGGCCAGAGAGAGGAGGAGGGCCCCAGCACAGCGGGAGGATGAGCCCGCAGGGCCCGCACTGGCAGAGGAGTCGTTCCTGGCTTGTGGCCTCTGGGCAGTTGAGTTCCGGCGGATTACGAGCGAGGAGTTGAGATCGTCCTCACCGTTGTCATCAGCGCAGGAGCTGGACATACCAAGAGAGACGCCATTTCGAAGCTTAGCGACTCATCTTGATGTATCTCAATGAGAGGCCTTACGATTGGGGGAGGGCTCAGTTGAGCCGACGCGCTATGTGCCGTTGGAGGAGCCTTTGGACCTCGAGACGGAGACGGGCAGGCAAGACTGAGAGGAGCCGCTGGATCCTGAGATGGCAGCCGAGCAGCCGGATCCGGTACGACCTCAGGGCGAGGAGGTGATCACGGTTGGAGACGATACCCCTCCATGCTCCCCAGTTTCGGAGCCAACACAACATTCATGGTTTGAGGGGATTCCTGAGCCAGGCAGCGAGGAGATTCCGGAGTTTCCCCCTGAAGCCACGGCTATGCCTGAGCAGGAGGCAGAGGCAGAGGGTCGTGGAGTGTGTGAGAGAGCGAGGGTGGAGGCGCCCCCTGACTTGCCATCAGCCACTCATGTGACCAAGAGCCCAGTTATCGAGGAGCCTATTCCAGCGGAGTTACTGCCAGCAGTGCCATGCATGAACAAGGGGATGGGGGTTGAGGCGTCGACTCCGGAAGGCCAGGGGCCGCGAGTAAGAAGAACCCCAAGGGAGACCCGCAAAGAGAAGTCTGCCCGAGTGTGGGTCCGTCTGGATGAGATACACGCGAGGCAGACTGAGATGGAGGCAGCAGGAATAGAGCCAACACCGCCGGTCGAGCCCAAGACGAGTGAGCAGAGGATCGACGAGTTGTGGGCCAGGTATGAGAGCCAGAGGGATGCAGCCCGCCAAAGGCCACGAGAGACGGGACAGGCGGACGAGGGGGCGGGTGAGCTGAGAGAGATGGGGGACTTGGGGTTCTCCGCGACCAGGCAGGCGATTGAGCACATGGATCGGAGGATATGCGAGACGGCAGTTACATCCTTCCAGTGGTATAATTTACTAAGCAATGAGCTCAGGGTCAGAGAGTTGGAGGTGGAGCACCTGACTACTCAGCTTGCCGAGGAGAGGGCAAGGAGCCAGGGCAGAGAGGTTGAGTGGGAGAGGAGATTTGGGGAGATGGCGGCCGCTGTGGATAGGCTCTCAGCAGCCTGGGAGGCTAGCCAGACCGGGCGAGCCGATGCCGATGACCAGGGCCGAGGGATGCAGGCTTCACCGAGTCAGGGAGCAGCAGTGGAGGTCCCTCGACAGGCCGAGCCAATGGAGGGGGTGCCCTTGGACGCAGCCGAAGAGGAGGGTGGCGCACAAGAGTCGCTCATTACCATGTCCACGGAGAGGAGAGGTTCGTGTTTGCACGAGCTGGCGGCATCCATGGGGATAGGCACGCCACAGGAGGGGCCTCAGAGACTCGGCGATCCAGAGCATGCCCCGAGGTTGGGAGAGTTGAGGGCGGAGCTGGGCTCCTGGGCCACGGAGATGGACTCAGGAGGGCTTGACTCAGGGCAGCAGCAGCAGCAGGAGGTCATGAGTGAGCCCACCGCCATGGTGGGCTCTCCGCCATCAGGATCATGCGGGGATGAGGCGGTGGTTGTGATAGAGAGGGCTCATGAGGAGGGACCCCGAGAGTTGGATACGCCAGGCTGCAGGCCTGTGAGCACAGTTGTACGAGGGGGTGAGGGTGTTGAGGCTATGGAGCCTGAACCTCAGGGCCATATGGGATTGCCCTCGTGTCATGAGGTGACTACTGAGACCATGGGGACGCCTTCGACATCGAGTTCACAGGGGAGAAAGAAAAAGACTGCCAGGTGGCACGATACCTCTTGCTTTTGGTGCAAGGAGGAAGGGCATAGAGTCGTGGACTGCCCAGAGCTCCTCGAGGATAAGGCCGAGGGACGAGTTGCGGAGTTCAACAGCAAGTTCTATGACAAGCAGCGCAGGATAGTAAAGCGAGCTCCAGACGGGGGCAGGGCTCAGTTGTATAGGTAGAACCAGGAGGAATTGTGTAAGTAGGGACTAGTCTGTCTATGTGCCAGTAAGGACAGAGTAATTGGCACACAGGGGGGCGGGTTGGAGGTGTACATATGGCTAAGGGGGCCCTAGATGTGTGCATACTTTAGAGATGGTAGGATGAGTCCCTGCCTGCTTGTACACATATAATTGATTGAGGTTTCTTTGAGTTTTTCTCTCATAGGCTACGGCTTAGGGCATGAGGGTTGGCCGTAAAGCACATGGGGCTACTCAGTCCATTTTTGATTTCGCGGTGCGGAGACTACTTGAGTTGAAAGAGACTTGGGTATGAGTTTCCCTAGTTAGGTGAGACGGGGGAGTTAGGCACCCGTTAGATTTTGAGTAGATGTTGTGTCCCCGAGCGTGTTCCGCGGGTGTACAGTGGGGTTGGGAACCATGCTCAGATGGACAGAGTTTGAGTTGAGTGTTTGTGTTTGAGTTTTGAGGGAGGCATTCTACTCCCTGAGTGTATCATGAGTTGAGATTCTATGGGACTTGTCTTTTGACGACCACTACCACTCTCACATGTGTGGCTTTATCCTGATGTATGATTGGCTTTGTGTGAGGGGCGTACAGAATACATCTCATGGACATGATTATGTAAGTTGTAAAGCTGCCTACCTTCCGGTATAGTCGTGCGGTCTGCTTGCAAGCGGACGAGAGGGCAGAGTATAAGGAGGGGGAGTGCGACCTGTTTGTAAAAAATTGTGAGAATCCTACGGGATTGATGGTTTTAAAAATTTGCATGTTTAAGCCACACCAAATATTGATTGTCTAAGTTGTACGGGGACCCAGAAGATGGTCCCTCAGTTTGAGTTTATTTGGTGATTAGGACCCCCCTTCATGGTTCTGGGAGGAGGGAACTGCATTGTTATCAAAGCCCCTTCATGGCTGGAAGAGGTCGTGTGAAGAGTCATCCCATACAAAAAGGGGATGACCGGGAAATCTTTTGTGAGAGGCACCCTTTACTAAGTAAGGGTGAGTAAAAATTGAATGGCGTGGGTAACATTGTCTTGTGTTGATAAAGTCTGACGGGAGGGAGCCATGTTTGCTTGAAGTGGTTGAAAAGGGTGAGACATGTCTCAGGGTGGGCGATTGCTGGCTCTGATCAAGTCAGGGGCCGCGGCCTTGTGGATCCGGCGGGTAGACTGTTTGTGATTGAGCGAAGGATGCCGCGCCTATTATAGGAGGGTCGGTAAATACCTTCAGACCCCTGCGTAGTCCCGCAGCGGCCTGCAAATTGTTTGTGATGCCCCGTCGGGCCACCTGTGCTAATTCTGAGACATATTTAAAGGAATACCAAGCTAACGGTAAAGTTTAGTGCCACTTGGGCGTAACCCCTAGTGGCTGGCTGCAAGCCGGCACAACCTGGCTGCGGGCCCGCGAGGTAAGAGTTTAAGGTGAGTTGCCTGCCCCAGAGAAATTACTCTGCGGGATGGGAGTCGAGTCTTTTGAAAAAATCATGACTAACTGATTGTTAGGAAAAACGCCTATCGTTGTGTAACCAACGGGAGGATACCGCCGCTAAGGTAATAATGTGGTGGGCCGTAGACCTGGCCCGATCAACCAGGCTATGGTGGGCTCAGATGGAGACGTGGTGTTTCTACTCTAGACTGCAGGAAAGGCCGAGAGAGGCTATAAGCTGTATATATGTATTTTGTTTGATGGTGAGAAAATTGCTGAAAGAAGCCAAGAATGCCTTCATAGGTCCCATTCAAAGCCCGCGTCCCTAGTCATGACTCTGCTTACGAGAAAGAGGCTAACTGGGACACCCAACGAGAGGTCGACGGTTGTCAAGGACGAAAGGGGAAGAGGATGGTTTGAGGGCCTTTGGAACTTATGCTGTAGTATTGATGCGTACTACACCAGCGTCCTGGTGTCAGGACAATGGGGACCCAGGTTGAAACCCGGGCAGCATATAGTTATGTTGGCACGATTTGATGGAGGCCTCAACCCTGAGTCTGTCGGTTAATCGGATTGGTTCTAATCTCGTCAGCATTTGGAGTGTGAAGGAATCTATAGCTTTTTGATTTGGCGACGCGACGGGGACGTCGCTTGATATGGTCCGGTAAGTTGTCGGCGCGAATACCCTTACAAGGGTATCCGCCCTGGTTTTTTGCAAATGATAGGGAGGCTTGGTTAACCTGGATTTTTAGTGCCCGTGCTGGAAATGCGAGGGTCGTCAGCGCGCCGGCAGAGGTCTGCCGTGTCCTGGTAGGAGGTATGAGGGCGCGCAATTTTAAGGCGCGCGTGTGATTTTCTTGATTGAGTGAGCGGCCGGGGTAGCCGGCTGACCCGTACTAGGCCACGAGATTGGTTAGGGGATGAAAGTCCGTTTTTGGTTGGCGCGCGCGACCAACGGTAGGATTGGCGTGCCGGTAGGCACATGGGATGGCCACGGCGCGGGGCGGAGGCCCGGTGTGGGCACTTAGGGGCCGTGGGTACAAATGTGGGCTGGAAAGCATGACCAAGGCGGTATCTTAGCCCGGAGCGCCGTGCGGTAGCACTTTGTATGGGAAGCCGCGCCTGCAGGTCACAGGTTTGGGCTTAGCCCTATTGGTTATGGTGTCGGGTTCGTGAGGCGGAGTTTCGGGGCTCGAGGCCAGCGGACGACGGTGCGGGAGCGGCAAAAGGCTCGAAGGGTTGATGGGCCCGTGGGACTATCCCCCTCGCCTTTTACAATCATGGCGGCCGCGGTTCCCGCCCGATTGCCGCATGTCTGCGGGGTTATATGTATCTATTTATGTATGATTTATCTATTTTGAATTTTTTTTACTACTATTTTTCACGGCCGTATGTGGGCGCAAAATCGTGGTGGGTAAAGTCATGTATCCCGAATTGCCTGGGGCCGTTGCCTCCGCGGCACAGGCTGCGTCCCTCGGGGCATCCGTAAAAGACTGGATCGAGACGGGACAGGGCTGTCAGGCCGCTGCGCAAGGCCGACTCTCGTGACCCGGGGGTGAACCTGGATGTAATGCAAGGCAGGCGCGTGCAAAGAGGGTAAAGGGGCGGCCACGGCCGGAAGTCCTTAGGGGCACCTGTAGAAAATTAAAATGATGCAAAGAAGATTTGCTTGGCCGGCTGCACAAGGATGATGTGCATAGATCCGGAATGGACCCGAACGCAGATCTGACCCGGGGCGTGCGAAGGAGAAGAGGCCAGGGTAGTATGCACGGAGGGATGCCGGCCACTGCCTTGCTTCCTGTTCCACAGGGCGAGGATATCGTGCGGGAATCCGGAGTGGATCCGGGCGCGGAAGGGGGCCGGGTGCGAGTAAAAAGGGAAAGGGCTTGCCATGCGCAGGGTCCTTCGAGGCATCTGTTGAAATTGAAACGATATAGGGAAGATTAGCATGGCCCCTGCGCAAGGTCCACATGTATAGAGCCTGAAAGGGGGGCTAGGCCCATGCGGGAAGAGCTAAGCGGGTGGGGCGAATCGTCTGTGGGAGGAACCTGAGTGCGGAAAAGAAGATCTGCATAGGCAAGGAGAGCAAATTCTCAGAGGAGAATCCGATTCTCAGAAAGGCGGTGCGGAGTTGCTGACGAGGCGGGGTGATATCGGGGAGGTTCGAACGGTCAACCACGGAGAAGTGGCGATCGTAGCTAGAAGGCCCGGGGCTGAATCTAGGTGGGAACCGGGGCAGGCGCATGCGGGGGAGGCAAAGGAAAGGACTGTGTGGCCCTTGGTGCGGCCGCGGGGCGTTGCCACAGGCAGAAGTCCTTCGGGACATTCGTAAAAATTGGAACGATACAGAGAATATCTGCGTGGCCCCTGTGAGCAGGCCGACGCGTATAAGTCGGAGAGCGCTCTCCCGTTCCCCACTTTTTTCTTTTGCTTTGTCCGCCCCGGTGCCTTTCTCGACTTGGCCTTCGGAGGAGCTGGTCGTAGTGCGCTGCTTCGACCGTGGGTGCTAGGCCGGGTTGACGTTAACGTGCAGGGGATCGTAAGCATGAAGATGGCAGGTGCGAAAGGGGAGTAAGCGTGGCGAGGTAGGAAGAAGGGGGTTCGAGGTGCGCTGATCGAGTTTTGGTGGGGGAAGAAGTGACGTGGGGGTCTTCGACCATGGCGAGTCGAATGGTGAGGTTAGTCTGGTCGTTAGATTAATAGAAAGAGAGTTAATGGTGAAACGAGCTGCGCGAGGACATGGTGGAAGGACGAATGAAGTAGAAGGGGAAGTAGAAATAGTACTCGATTCTGGATGGAATCGGGGAGGATGAAGGTCGGGACAGAGGTTTTTTGATAGGGCGATTTCAATGGCACCGTTAGCTTTGAATTTAGTAGGGTAGAATAAGGATTAGAAGAAAAAAATGGTCTGCGTGGAGATGGCGGGAGCAAGAAGGTGGGGAGTAAGAGAGGTTTGTCGCGCTCGTGTCTGATGAAGTCGGGCGAGGAGGAGGGTTAGTTTAGAGATCCGAGGCTGCTGCGAATCCGATGGTAGTGTCGGATTTTGCAGTAGAGTGGCCGATTTAGTGAGACAGGGTGCGAGAACTGCGCCCGGGGGAGTAGCCTAGCCTTTGCCAAAGAGAGGGATGAACCTAACCGCGTTTGTGGGCAGATTCATTCGGTTTTGTGAATTTGGTGCGAACAAGCTGCGTGAAGTTGGCTGTAAGGTTGGAGGCTTACCCGTATGCTCGACGCTGCTCATTCTATCAATGAAGGCAGCCCCTCGCTACTGTTTTCTACATGCTATGGAGAGGTCGGGTTAGGCGGAGGACGCAGGGCGGGGTTGGTGGCTTACCTCTTTAGCTGGTATGTCGCCCATCCGACAAAGGAAGCTGCTTAAGACGAGTTGCAGAATCGGAGGGTCGTTTGCTGCACTAAGTAGCAAAGGCCCTGGGACGTGGAGCCGGCCGCAAGGATGGGGGCTTACCTGTTGGGTGGAGCGCTATCCGTCGGCTGAGTAAAGTCTGTGGCGGAAGCGGGAGAGCGGCTGGTCGGACTACTGGCGCTACAGTCAGTTAACTGGTTGATTCGGTATGAGTGGAGGGGGCCGCGGTTGATACTTTGTTGCGACTGAGCTACTTCATTGACTGTGCT